CCCCAAAACCCCAAAACCCCAAAACCCCAAAACCCCAAAACCCCAAGTTCTCAAGATTTAATTGGCTAAATAGAGATATCACATTCCTTAATATAATGGCCATCTATCATTTTCCAACTACAAAGAGAGATCTTCTGTGGTGCGAAAGTTCCTAGGCTCTCTGAATGGAACTTGCTACAGATTGCATTGCCTATATAATCAAATCAGGAGATTACCATTGAACCCACGAAGCTCATTCTTTATCTTCATATGTGAAGAGTTAATAAGGGCCAAATGGAAGGGTTCTCTCTTGAGCTCTTGCTGGGTCACTAAGCCGCTTGAGATCATCCTTTCTTTGATCCAATCGACTAGTTCACATAGAATCTCATAAGGCTTATTATTTGACAACTTAGCAAAAAGAACCTGGCTTTCTCTATCATTGATCTTAAAATCTCCTACACCCTTCAGGTTTAGATTAAGCTTCTTTTGGCCAAGGAATTCTTCTATTTCTGGTTGAAGGCTTTGGAGGAGTTTACAAGCCTCTTCCACTCTCTCTTTAGTCTCTAAAGGAAGTCTGAATAAGGTGATATTAAGGAGTCCTTCTCCAATGTACCACCCTTCAACGACACTTCTTCCTTTATCAAACGCATCAACTTTATATTGGAAGTCTACCAATTTCTTAGCAAGGCCTTTATGAGTAATTGGCAAGCACATGAAATGAGTCAAAGGTCTTGGTCTGCTGGGAGGATGTTGCTTAGGCTTAAAAACTGGAGCTGCCTTATTCATCTCTTGAGGCTTTTATAATTAATTATGCTAATTACCTTCTCAGTGCTGATTTTTTCTTCCTCTTCTTCATCACCAAAGAAATTATCTTCAAAGTCTTCATTGTCTTCTTGATCGCTTTCTTCTTGTTCCGGGTCTTCGACGTAGTCTTCATTCTCTTCTACATCATCACTGGCGGGTTTATCATTTTTGGTTCTGGCCTTACCTTTGTATATCTCCTTAGCTTGTTGGTATCTGTCTTCAGATTGCTCCTTAGGGATTATTTCCTCTCTCTTGCCAATTTTGTAGCTAGATTTACCTATTTTCTTAAACACAGCTCTGTTCATGTTCAGGATGGGAAGCCTGTAGGTTCTTCCATCAATTTCTTGTTCTTCGAAGTCAAAGACTAGGGACGCCATTTCAATATTATTAGATATTTGGGGTTTTGGGGTTTTGGGGTTTTGGGGTTTTGGGG